AACTTGCTTCAAGCCGGCCCTGATTCCAGTGTTCGCGGTGATCACCACTGCCCTGGTTGGGCTGCTGGGAAACGGGGATGTGCTCTGGTTCCTTGGATTCTGCATGTGCAGGGACGCCTTCTCTGTCTACATCCTCAACCTGGCTGGGCCCGACTTCCTTTCCTCTGCTTCAACACTATCAATGTCCTGAAGAAACTCATCAGCACATTCAGTTTAATGAGCAAGGTCTTCACCTCCGTGATTCACTTTTCCATCTTGCAGGGCTGAGCATGCTGAGTGCCATTATCTCTGGGCACTGCCTTTCCTCTCTTCTATCTCTTCCTCTCTCTCAGCTTTGCAGCCCTTCGTAGTGGGATCCCTGGATGGCTCTGATGTCTCTCCATGTGATGGCCTCCATTCAGGCCACAACTGGTCTCCGCTCTCCTTAGTCCAACCTTCCACCCTTCAGCCTGGACACTCTGACAAGCCATGTCTTTAGTTGGCCATCTTGGCTTCCTCTCCCTGTCCTCATTCTTAATGACTTCAATATCCATGGCCATGGGCAATCCAACATCCTCACCTCTCCATATTCTAAATATCTCCTTCCTTTAACCTTGTCATACGCACTCCATTCAAACCATTCACTCTAGGATCTTGTGATCACCCACAATGGCATCACCTCTAAAGTCTGCTTCAAGATCACACTGTTTGATCCTTACTTCTGATTTTATACTAATTTTTCCTAGTGCCTCAACTCCCAGGACTCTCCCACTCCATCCTTACCTCTAGTATCTTGAACTAACATGGCTCATTGACCACCACTTCCTACTTCCATCCTACCAAGACTCATTGTAATCACTACCCTGCACATGCCCTCCACCCCCTGCCACATTCTCCTCTGCCAACTTGCCAGACCAAACCCCACCTGTTTAAATCCATTTTGCGTACCCTCCATGCCTGTTCCTAGAGAGCTGAGTGTCAGCCAGTATGGGCACTAACTTCTTTACATCTCACAAGAGAGGTAAATTTCTCCAGTTGTTCACACAAATAAACTTTTTAAAATAGTAATAAAAATGTACTGTTCATAACTAATTAAGGATTTAAGAACAAAAACTCCAACAAGTTGTTGCTTCCAGAGAATAGGATTCAGAAAGACTTTCATCTTTTGATACACACTTCCATTACCTTTAGAAATAAATTGTAAACATGCACACATTATTACTTTGGTAAAATAAAAGGGGAGAGGTGGGATAGGCCACAAGGACCATGAAAGATACTGAAGAGGGTGCGTTTTTTTCTTAGTTATAAAGCCTCCCAGCACAGGTTCACATTGCTTAGTCTGGCTGCTCTGCACACAGTTGGCAGCAAAAGGCTCCAAAACAACAATCATTTACAGGGACGGGGACTGGATGGGAGTCGGGATGAGCAGAAGTTGAGAGATAAGAGTAGAGTGAGACCAAATGTGGAGGAACACCTCGTGACAAACAACTCAACACTCTCATTGGCCAGCAGGTCCCTGTACAGGAAATCACAGGGCCCTGCAGCATTTTGATAAGCCTCACTCAGGCACAGGCTTCTGCCACCTGCTGCAGCAAACTTTCCAGGGTACAGTAGCCCCCTCTAGCAGTTGTCAATGGTAGGGCCCAGTTTGCCACCTCCTTGAGCACAGGTCAGCTTCCCCTTCTAGTAGGAAGAATGGGAAAAAATGGCTAGAGCTTATGTAGAACCTATTTCAAAAGCCATTGCTGTGCTTTCCTCTTAGTCGACATTCATGAGTCCACATTCACAGAACTCCCCTTGGAGAGGAGTATTCAGGGAGCCACGGAGGCTCCAGCTGGAAGGACAGGAGACATGAACCACCCTCTTGGCAACTTTGGGGGCTGGCAGACTTTGGGGGCAACTTTGGGGGCTGGCAGGCTGGGGACACCTAAGTGCTGTCACCTGGGGCTGTTCCTCTTTACTGTCACCATAGTCTCTTTGTCATCCCAATCGTACTAATTTGCTGTTATGCTGAGGAATCTGCTGTTTTCCTTAATTTGGGAAACAAGCTGTGGCACATGCATGCTTCTCAATGCTAAAGAGCTGTTAATAACCCAGATTTCATTGATTTCCTTGCTTTTTTTCTCAAAAGTTTTCCTTTGTGTGTATCTGGCAATGCCCTAGCCTTAAATACATGGCCCAGGCCAGACGCAGTGGCTCATGCCTGTAATCCTAGCTCTCTGGGAGGCCAAGGCAGGTGGATCTATATAAACTACATACTTAAATTCTTTTAGGTACTACTGGCCCTCCCAGATTTGGAGGCATGACTGTGGCCATCATTAGTTGTCTGTAATAAATATTATAATTAGTCAGCAATTATATAATAGCTACTGCACACAGAACAATTTTAAAATTATTATATAATAACTACTATGAATACAGTACATAATTATTTCAAACACGACCGAGCTTTCCATAGAGGGGGAAAAGATGAATGAAAACTCTCTTTATTGCAGGAATACATGTGTACTTTCTGGTAACTTTAATTTCTTTTAAATGTTTTATTTTACATTATCCAAATCTTTCTCTACACTTAGATACCCAGTCATTATTTATTTTTTGATTACAAGTTTTTGTAATGCCCACTGTGTCCTCATCTTGAAACTAGGCATTCAGGAACCAGCAATGGACAGCAGAAAAGGGCACAGGTTGATATTCCCACAGGTTGATACAGTGAGGCATTTCACACCTGGCCATACTCATACCTGACCATCCTCACACCTGACCTAGCAAGAAGTAATTTTCCTCTCAAGTTCCTAAAGCATGGTCTTCAGTCTCTTTGGTAAAAACAGGGACTGCAAATGGGGCCTCATGTGTCATGCCTGAGGCTTCGGATTTCCTGCCCCTGCGAGGAAACCTGTGTTCCAAGGACAGAAGGAAATGTGGGCTCAGAAGCCTGTTGCTGTCCCACATGGCCTGCTCAGATGGTCTCCTCCTGCTTCCTGAGGACCAGTCTCCAGGAAATGGTTGGGAGAGTGAATAGGAGGGTTTGGACTTCACAACAGTCCTGTATCCCGAGAGGACAGGTGTCGCAGTAGAGAGAGCCCAGCCTTTAGAGTCATTGAGACTGTGTTGAGTCCAGCTCCCAGGATTCCCGAGCCTTCAATTAATTCCTTATTCTTTCCAAGCCTCTGCTCCTCTCCTCTGTGGCACAGGGACAGTAACGCCCACACAGCAGGCGGTGTTGAGAATCAGAGATCACACAGCTGGTGCCCAAGTCTCTTTCTGCTCCCAGGTACCACTGGAGGGGTTCAGAGCATGGATCCAACCATGCCAGCCTCGGGGACAGAACTCCCACCAACTGATGGGAGAGAAAAGAACCCTCCACTAGCCTGTGACGTGATGACCCTGATCCCGAACTTGCTGGACAAGTCACCATGGCCCTGGCCAGGCTGACAGGAAACACTGTGCTCTGGATCCTGGGCTCCGCATGCGCAGGAATGCCTTCTCCGTCTACACCACGAGGCCGACTTCTTCTTCCTCTGCTTCCATGTTCCCAGTTACCTGAAGAAACTCACCAACTTTTTCCATCCCATCTCCACCTTCCTCCACCATGTTTAATGCTGAAACAACTATATACATATGTGTGCATACACACATATATATGTACCAACACACAAATACATATATAGTCTCTCTCATATAAAATATACAGTGGTCTGTATCACTTTTATTTAACCTATCTTGGAGGTCCTTTCATATCAGCTTGTTGTTCTTTTCATACAGCTATAGAGTATTCCATAAATGGACCATAATTTACATAGTATCAATGGTCCTTTTGGCTGGTTACAACCATTTATAGTAATGCTATATTCATTCACTCTGTACATATGTCCCTTGAACATACACAAGTATATCTCTGGATAAATTCTGAGGTTAGAAATTACAAAGGATGATACTTTGTATGTTTGTACATGTTGCAAATTGCCTTTCCTGAAGGATGTATATATTGGCACTCCCACCAGACAAGAGTGAAAGTGCCTGGTCCCACCATCTCCACACAGTACATTATCAGACCTCTTGGGCTTTTATATGGGAATGAGTTAAATGTAATTCTGTCTAATTTTAATTCATGTCTTTTACTAGACTTGCATTGCCTATCTTTCCATATATTTAAGACCCATTTTTATTTTCAACAAATTAGCAATTTATGGCCTTAGTCATTTTCTCATTGACTTTTTAAGCTTTAAATCATTTTACAGAAACTTTTTAAAAGTAAGTTAGCACTATGGCTATGATATGTTACCACTATTTTCCCAATATTTCATATTTTGAGTATTGTATTTCATGCCATGCCATAAATGCCTTTCTTTTTTACTTTATTACTGTTGGTTGTTTGTCCAACAGCATGCCTTGCAGCCTCCTGCCTTCACTGTCTTCTTGTCCAGGTTGGTGTTTCAGATGATGTCTGAGTGCCCTTCTCTAACACACCTGTTCCACTTAGTCCTCCGGCCATTCTTCTTCTGCCACTACTCTGACAAGATCAGCAATGACTCCATATTGCTAAGCCAAAGGTCAATTTCTTGACTGCTCAACTGTAACTGACACTATTTACTGACCAATGACTCCATCATTTGGGACCATGGGACACTGTACCCTCCTAATTTCCCTCCTTTCCCTACAGTTGCTCCTTTACATGTTTTGCCCATGACTGTCATATGCAACCTTTATCATATACTAAATTCCTATATGCATTTCTATCTGATTCTAAGATGCTTGCTCCAAGATAAGTTTCTCTATGGATGGTTTAATAGGATTTGTCCAGACTCTTAACAGCTGGAAAAGCTCTAAATCCCTTCAGGCCTCTTCCTTTTTCAGTCTCTATTAACTTTACGCTCAGCTCCTTGAGGATAAGTCCCAAAAGACTATGGTCTAGTGTTATTCACACTGTAGATCAAATGTCTGACACAGTGCAGGTACATAGCATGGCTCTATTAGTTTGCTAGGACGGCCTTAACTTAGCAGCACAGACTGGGTGGATTCAACAACACAAGTTTATTTTCTCACAACTCTGAGACTAGAAGTCTGAGAAGAAGGTGTGGACAGGGTTGGACAGTGTCTTACTCTCTCCCCGTCTTCACGTGATCTTTCCTCTGTGTGTCTACATCCTAATCTCCTCTTCTCTAGGATCACAAGACCTGTTGGATTAAGGCCCAGGCTTACAGCCTCCTTTAAACTTGATTACCTCTTTAAAGTCCCCATCTCCACATACTGTACAGTAAGATTACGACTAACTGGGTTAGGACATCAACATTTGATTATTAGAAGGACAAAATTCATCCCATAATAAAGTCCTCATTAAATAGTAACTGAATGAGTGCATTCAAGAACTTTTCTCAATATTTGAATCAGATTCTAATTAAAATGACACTTTTAAAAATGATGATTGGCTTAATTGGGCTGTAGCTTGAGGCAAACAAAGAATGAAAGCACAGGATAAGATTTAAACTGTGTTTGCACCCAGGTTTCAGGACGCCTCACCTTCTCATTGGGTATTTATCCCTGTGTGCCTCTGTTTGCCTCCTCTATAAAACAGACACAGTCATTCACACACTGCAGGTTGGTCATAACAGACAGACATCATATAATTGTTGCTCGTGTCTTGTTTGTGTTCCCAGGGGCTCAAGTGCAGCGTTTCTGAGCATGGAGTCAACTACCCCAGCCTGGACCACTGAATTCACAACAAGGAATGGAAATAACGAGATCTTTTCTAGAACTTGTGGATTGGAACCTCTGATCTTTCCTTGTCTGACCAGCATCATTGCCCTGGTCGGGCTGGCGGGAAACGGCGTTGTGCTCTGGCTGCTGGGCTTCCGCATGCGCAGGAACACCTCCGTCTACATCCTCAACCTGTCGGTGGCCAACTTCATCTACCTCTGCTTCCTGATGATACAATCCCTGAAAAAACTCATTGAGTTCTTCCATTATCCCTTCCTCAACCCTTCCACCTTCCTCTATGTGTTGGCTTTTTCCTACCTTGCAGGGCTGGGCATGCTGAGCGCCATCAGCGCTGAACGCTGCGTGTCCGCCCTGTGGCCCATCTGGTACCGCTGCCGCCGCCCGAGACGCACGTCAGCTGTTGTGTGTGGCCTGCTCTGGGCCATGGCCCTGCTGGTGAGCACTGTGTATCCCTTCTGTCGATATCTATCCCCTGGTGACCATGATGCGTGTAAGGCATCTGAAATCATCACAGTTATGTGGCTGGTTGTTTTTCTTGTGGTTCTCTGTGGCTCCAGCCTGACCCTGCTCCTCAGATTCCTATGTGGTTCCCAGCGGATGCGGATGACCAGGCTGTAAGTGACCATCCTGCTCACAGTGCTGGTCTTCCTCCTCTGTGCCCTGCCCTTGGGCATTGCCTGGCTCGTATATCCATTGAATCAGTTTCACATTCAAGTCAAATGTTATATGTATGTAGTTTCCATATTCCTGACGTCTGTCAACAGCAGCGCCAACCCCGTCATTTACTTCTTTGCAGGCTCCTATAGGCAGCGGAAGCAGGAAGGGCGGCAGACCCTGCGGCAGGTTCTCCAGCGGGCTCTGCAGGACACCCCTGAGGTGGATGGACCTGGGACAGCCTTCCTCAGGGACCCCTGGAGCTGTCGGGAAGCAGATAGGCCAGGGAGGAGCAGCCTCTGCCCTGGGCAGTCACACGTGACTCAGACAGCAGCACGGTCCAGCACGCTTCACCTTCACATACATTTCTCTCAGCCTTGTGCCACTGAAATGCCTCAGGAATTCCCCAGTGCCTTCAAATAGATCTCTTTTTAACTTGGCTTTTCTAGCTTTACTCAGAGAAAACATTATCTGAAAGTATATTGTCTCCATCCTTCTTGACATTACCAATAATGTTCTCATGTTATCTTCCTCTAAATCTTTCTATTGAACACATTTTGTTTGCAAGTTTCATTGCAGTGGAAAGCATGCCTGTCCCAAACCACACAACTCTTCTACATAATTGTTTTCTACCTGACAGTATCAAAAAAGACTCCTTATTTATCACTCACAATATGTTCCCCTGAAAATTACGTTCACTCTGACTGGGGAGGGCACGCTGCAGGGGGGAAGCTGGCTCTGAATGAGTGAGCTCTGCTTCCCATAAATCTCAATGCGTTCTCAGTTATTAGAAAAAATACTGTCCTCAGAGACAGATTCTCTGCCTTTATAAAAACAGTACAGAACATTGATTTTATATGACATATCCTTTGACCATGGCATGTGATATGCCCATGACTGTCATTTGTTCATGGCATGGTAACAAGTTGGCCTTGTTTTCTAGTAAAGAAAACAATGGACCCCTACCCTGGAAAACTAGTGACTGTTCCTATAGGCCTTCTGCACCTGGGGACCAGTGTAGAGTCTACATATAATATTCCATGGTTCCACCTTCACTATTGGCAACCTCAGTATTGTTTTCAGGGAAGAATTTGTCTTGAGAACCATTTATTATTAGCTTAAACTTTCCTTTATTTGTAAGAGGACTCTGTATACTTCCAGTTTTTGCAAAATTATTCTGCCTGTAACTTTCAGTTAGTTCCATGTACAGTCACCATGGGGGTCAGGATTGAAAACATGTAAGCTTTTCATAATAATGTTTGTTACAATATACTGATAAGAATGTTGGGCTAGCACTGAATTCTGATACACGCTAGAACAGAGATGAACCTTGAGAAAATCTTCCTAAGTGAAAAAAAAGCCATACCCAAGAGAATAATATTGTAAATTCACGCCCTATAAGGTATCTACACAGAAAAACTGATCACACAGATAATACTGTGGGTGGGGCAAGGGGAGAATGTATGGGATAGGGTAAGGGGAGAATGTATGGGATGGGGTAAGGGGAGAATGTATAGTCATTGTTTAATGGATACAGAATTTCTGTGTGACATAATGAAAATCCTTTAAATGGTTACCATTTACTCTAAAGGTACTGAATGCCACTGAATTCTACACTTAAATGGTTAAAGTAGTAAAATGTATGTTATGCAAATTTTATTATAGTTTTCAAAAATGATTAATTAAGGAAACTCGGATCAACACAGAGTTGAGGACTAACCTGTGCCACTGGTTTCTGTTTCCACAAAGAACTCAAGCAGACAGAAGGGGCCATCGTGACATGTTGTGACAACACAGCGGGCTCTCTGCTGCTCACAAGGAGTGTGGCTGCCCCTCAGACTGACTGTCACAGAGGTGAGATGACAAGTAAACTGAGTTCTCAGGAGACAGTACAGGGCAGCTATGATACGAAAAAAACTAGGGTTTTCAGATTTTCAAATCAAATTCCTTGGTTGCTTCTATGACATAGTCAGTATACAGAACTCAGGTTCCCTGAGTCCAGATGCAATCCTCTTCCATGTCCAGTACTGTGCTGATTTATAACCTGTATGTACACCCTTAATTTTCAAACGCCTTAGTAGGACTTGGCTGTCCTGAGGGCTCCCTACTGTGGGGGAGGCAGGAACAGTCCCTACAGTGCTTGCAGCCTGTGCACCAGGTAAGACTCTGTATGTGAGATGGTCAGCTCAGATTAAGAACTATTATGAGAGTTAGCCCTGTGAGTCTGTCATGTCATCAACTGTACAGCTTTGGCTGAAGATGTCTTCCATCATGAGGAGCCCTGTAGTGAAATTTCACCTGGGCACTGGTTAATTTGATGTCAGGGACATTCCTTTTCAGATGCCTGCAAGAAATCTCAGGCACTGCAGGCTTAGGCTCAGCCCCTGAAGCCCAACAGAACTTATTTGGCCCCGGACATTCCTCTCGTACAACACTGAGAACACTGTACCTTAACGATTTGTCTCCCGGTCTCCCTCCTCCACAACACTGTGAGGTCTTTAAGAGCAGACACTTTGTCATTGAATCCCCTGTGCTTGGGACTGGGCTCAGAATTTAGAAGATGCTCAGTGACTATTAATATTTTTCTGAAGAATCTGCCACTGAAAATCACAGGGTCACCCAGCATCTTGAAAAGACTGGCTCAGTCACCAGGTCTCACTGTGGCTTCTGCAGCCACCTCCCTCTCAGGAGGGCATACAATGTCCTCTGAGAGAGGCTCCTCCCTTTCACTGCAGGTCTGCTCACTGCTAGAAGTGAGAACACAGGGGATGCAGGACTCTGCTCTTGAGCTGTCTCTTTCCAAGGCTAGTGACAAGGATGTCAAAGAGTGTCCTCCAGGAAGACAGAAAAGATTTTAAAGTCCCTCAGAGTATTTTGTGGGACCTGTCATTCATGACTGTGTATTTATACATGAGTTCAAAAAAGTTTTCTAGCTACTTGATCAGGCACTGTGCTAACTCAATATAAAAGCAAATATCTTTTCAATAAGTCCCTGGATAATAGACTAGCTCTATAAATAATCCTGTCCATTCCACCTAGGATATATTTTGATTGATGCCCGGTAAATCCTGAGCCTTCATGGCCATTCACTGACTCTCTGGTGCACCTGGGTAAAAGAGCAGCAAGTCCTCAGCCTCAGAATGAACAACTGGTTCTATTTCCCATCTTGCTTATGCCAGCTGGACTTGGCAGTGCAATGACCTAATTGGTCAAAACACAATATAAATATATATATTATGAGTATGAAAGAAGAATTGCAGTTTCAATGAAAACTACTAATTAAAGGGAAAATAAAAGTAGGTTCAAAGTTATTGTTATTGAATTAGGTGTGAACCTCCCAACTATTAAAGATTAAAAAGATTAAAAGATTAAAGATTTAAAAAAGATAAGCAATATTGAAATACATCCTCGGGCAGAATACTATACATTTGATGCTAAGATCGCCACTTAAATACATCCAAACAGAAAATCATAAATAATACTTGATAGAGTGTGATTATATATCCTGAATGCTACTGAAAGGAAAGTCCTCTACTCTAGTTCAGTGGCCCTGAACATTTTGGCATCAGGGACAGTTTTCAGGAAAGTCAATTTTTCCATGGACGGAGGAGGGACTGGAAGGATTCAGGACAGTTCCAGCATGATTGAAGCATGTTACATTTATTTTGCACTTTACTTTTATTATTATTACATTGTCATATATAATGAAATAATATACAACTCAACATATGTTGGGGATGCCTGTTCTAATTTAATTCTGTTGAATGCTTTCTAGGTAAAAATGAAATCTGTATATTACAAATGTATTCTTTTTTATAAATGCCAATTAACAGAACTTTGAAATTACTGTATGCACTTGCAATTCTGAATATATCATTAAGTGAGCTTTTCAGAGCAAGGTGACTCATTTCATCTTCAGTTTATTATGTACGGATTACTGAGCATCTCCATGTTCCAGCCCACATGCCAGACTTTGGGGCATCAGGACAACACTCCCACCTTCACAGAGCTCACGTCTGTAAAAAGGAGCCTAGTGCAAGAAAGACTGCTGTACGATGTGGAACATGCTGTCATAGAGTAGGGTTTGTGACTCCAGGGTACCCTGAGGAGGGAGCACCTCATCATTCTAACGGGTCTTGCTTCCATCCCGAAGAGAAATGTCATACCCAAGCACACAGGCAATGCACGATGGGATGGTTCCAAGAAATGAGAGAATGTTCACCAGGTGGCTCCTCATGGTACACAACAACCTCAACAAAAGCATCATAATTGACAAAACCACAAGACTATTAAGCTGAGTCTTACAGCAGCCCTCAGTCTAGAGTCTGACATCACTCCAATGCGCAATTTCTAAAAACATTCTTCAAGGAGAGTTCATGCAGGCGCTTAGGCCACAGGAATTGTGTCACTACCTAGTCTGACTATGCTGTGTTGCAGCACAGAAAGCCCTCACCTCCAGCCAAGCCCTACTCAGCATCAAGAAATCCTGGGATATGTAGGCATGCAGAACCTATGACTGCTAAATTGGGAAGAACGATAGACCTGGATCCGGGAACCTGGATTCTAAGGTGACTACATGACCATCATGGTTCCTATGCCATTCTAGGCAACCCAAGCAGACAGTGAGGTTATGGGTTGCCATTTGTGGTCAAGTATCTTTTTTCAGAGTATGGTGGTAAGTTTGGACTTCACCACAGTTGTGGACTAAAGATAACTCTAGTTGTGATTTAAAGCAACCTGAGAAGTTTATGTCTCTACACAGTAACTATAAGTACAATATGCACATACTCCATTCACCTATGTGGCAGCTAATGGGGTTTTGAATATATTGCTGTGACGTTTGTCTAAATATTGCTGTAGTATGTATTAAGCACCAACACTGCCAACACACCAATAGTGGCTCTAAATACAGATAGCATTTGGTTGCTGCTCTCTAAGAGATTCAGTAGAGTGTGGAGGACTAAGTCTGTTTACACATGCCTGTGATATGAGTCCAATTGTTCTGAATCCTTCCAGGATGCAAAGGCAGAGTTGGGAAGCCAACATGAATAAAATCTCATTAGTAAGCATTAATGTAGATGTGAATAGATCAGGGGATGCTCTTGAAATATTTGGAATTTGGACTAAGGACTCTCAAATTCCCTAAACATGTACCCACTGTCAATTTTGCCATCATAAAATAAGTTTTGAATGAGGCAAGGAAAGATAAATAGGATTCGGACAGATTAAAATGTTAGAAGAAGTCATTTGTAGTGCCATTGTTAATAGGAGCATAGTGTTGTTTAGGGAATAGTGATCCATATGTAAATGAATTTCATTCCTTATGTTACCCAAAGTGCTGGTCATGATTGCAGTATTTCTCTTAACAAGGATTATAAAACTGGATTCGCTCTTTAGCTACCACAAGGGGTCTAGTCATCCTGTGTGGTGTATGCATCTCATTCACCCTCTGTAAACCTGTATGTTATTCTTGCTCTATAATGCTATCTTGCTCACCCTCAATAAATATCACCTTGTGCTTGCCTTACAGAAAGAAAAATTGGAGTTCTCTGAACAATTGGTAATGTCTGTTGTGGCCTAGAACTGATAAGGAGTCAGGCATAACTGAAGGGGTTGGTACAAGTTTTGCAAAGTAATTTGGAGTCAATGCCACAAAACTGTCAAGTAGAGAGGACCAGTCAGATCAGCCTAGCAGGATCCATTAAAAAGGCAATGTCTTGCTCTCCTGACCCTCCTCCCACAGATATGTCCCATGCTCCAGGGTCAGAATACACAGGTAAAGACAACAGGGTGATAGAACAAAAAGAAATATGAGGGGCAGAGTAGAGAAGAGAGAAGCAGTACAATGCACCCATTCCTCTGGTTCAACATTTTTGCCTGTAAAATGCCCAAATTGGCAGCAGGGAAAATGGTTGCTCTTTAAATTCAACTAAACATTTTAGATCTCAGTAAAAATACACCTCTAAACCTCTTTATAGCCTTGGTTGAATGAGAACTTGTGAGTTGGTAACCGGGGATCAAAAACCTACATAATTATGCATGTCTTCTTGCACCTCTTTTGAAATGAGGTATCTATAGTGTCTTGATATTTAGATTAATACACCAGTTTTTATATCCCATCACACATATGAGAAAATAACTCATATTAGGTTCAGAAGTTCAGTGAGAGGAGAGGTTCAGGTTTAAACCTTTAATTGTACCTGTAAAGTTTACTTATTCATATTTAAACAGAGACTTGAAACAAAAATGATGAGACTATACCATATGTCTCATTTTAGTGGTGTGGGTATGAATCCTTATTACCTTATATTGTATCCTGAGTTTCCTTTATACAAACTTCTCTCCAGCTTCCCCCACATCCTCATTCTTAGTGCTTTAACATCCAGGTAGGTAGGCAATCCCACAAACTGATCTTTCAGTCCTTTTTTAATTTTTCATCCAGAAGTAATTGCAAACTAACAAGAGGTTACAAACATAGTATATACCATACCCTCTCCAAGCCACAACACACACAAACATACTGAGAAAGGTGGTGTCAGCACACAAATGAAGATGGTTTTTTACAAGTCAGGAAGACAGGCCTCTAGAGAAGTCAAATCACCTGGCACCATCATCAGGGACTTCTTCTCCAGAACTGTGAGAAGATACATCTCTGTTGTTTCAGCCTCTCAGCCTTTGGTCTTTTGTTATGGAAGCCCAAGAAGACTAACAAGAACATGGCAGGAACCTAGGAACATGGACTGTCTTTTTAGGAATTTCCTGTTACTTAAA